ATACCACATATTTTCGGATGGGGGTGATGCTCGTCAAACGTCATTTCAACACATATGATTTGACGAGCCCCGAACATTACCGAATACACAACATATAAGTCGGTTGGGGCCATTCCATAATCGAACTCTGACGAAGTTCGGTGACTTTTATTTTATTTCCTGTACAGCCCTAAAAATGTGTTTAAGTTTCGCGAAGTTATTCGAAAACTCGCATATCGACTTGCACTTGTGGCTGAAATTATTATAAACGATCAAAGTGGAATTCAGAAAATATTTTTACAAAAATTTACAACTCGGTTCATAATATAAACAAATCCGAGTTGAAGCAATTCATTTTATAATCCGAACCGAATTCAGAACATTTGGTCAAAAAGTTGCTGAAATTTGTACAGCAAATATGAATCAAGACAAAAAATTACGCAAACACTTCATATATATATATATATATATATATATCTCGAAAAAGTTGGGAAATGCCTTACATATTTTCCTACTAAGGGACTCAGTTATCTGATGTCCCCGATTACACATTGTCAACATTATATATTTCCTACTAAGGATGCCGACATGCCGGCACCCCGACTATATAGTGCAAATATATAAATGTAAAGAGAACAGAAACTTCAGGCGCCGTCATCCTCTTTCTCCATTTAGGTCCCGGTGCCACTGCCTTCCCCGGCTTCGATCCCTGAAGACAGTCGCTCCAGAACTTGCGACTCCTTTGCTTTAGCAGCAATCTCAATGGCCCCATCTGGCACCGGAATGAACTCATCGCGAGGATCGGGCAACTTATCTACATCATCTTCAGCCGGCGTGACAACCCTAACAACTTCAATCTCCTTATCGCCCGACCTTGCCTTCTCCTCGATATAAGCTTTGACCCGGCCGGAGTCATGTCATCGAAATGCTGTTCAACCTCCACCTCGGCCAAAGTTGAAAGGTACACGTCGGCCAGTTCCTTCCTTTTCTCTTTCTCCTCCTCCAAGATCATATTGACATAAGCACGTCGGAGGAGAGCAGCCCTATCCTCGGAAAGTGGCGGCAGATCCGGATTTGCATTCATCTCCTCAGAACGACGGAGCATCCATACACAGAAATCGCGTTCATCCTCATCAGCCGCCACGTGCATTCCCTTTATCTCTGAATCAAACCCATATCTCTCCAATTTGTGGAATAAGAATAAACGGAAGTCATCAATGTCATAGTAACCGGCATCATAGCGCTCAATGACCCATCGGAGGTTCAGACAGGTATTCATTTCGATTTCAAGGTCAGGTCCACCAACCTCATCATCTTCACCTTCACCGGCTTCAACAGCTTTAGTCTCGGCATCATCACCAGACTTCGGTTCAACAACGACCGAATCTTTCCCGGCTTGAAAACCGTTCTCATACATAAATTCTCCGTACGCCGACTTCTCTCTCTCAAGCTTAGCCATCTCGGCTTGATGGGCGTCCTTTTGCCGACCTACCAACTCACGGACCTCGGCACACTCTTGGCGGGTTGTTTCATGCTTTGCCTTTTCGTCTAACAGCGCCTTCGCTGTTTCCTTTACTTTGGCCTCGGAGGCCTTGAAGTGTTGCCCGACCACGGCGAGGCGCGCCTTAAGATCGGCCACCTCGGCCTCAAAGGCCCTCTTCTCTTCAGCTAATGCCGAAGTCTCAGCCTGTGCCTTCTCCAACTGGGTGGCTTGCTCAGAAAGTTGGCCCTTCAAGTCGGCCTCCATTTTGGCAGATTCTTCCTTCAGCTGGACGATCACGACGTCACGTGCAGCTATTATGTCCTTTTTACCTTCTAACTGTGATGCAATCCGGCGGTGATCGTCTTCGGCTGCAACCAAACTGACCAACGCCCTGCCAACACACGCTTTAGCGTAGCTCAACCTATCTGCACTCGACAAAGAAGAGACCCCCACCTCGGATTTGGGGTCCCACACCATCAACGGCACCCGAGCAGTATTTTTAGCGCTCTCCGGCATCTCAATCCTTGATGACATGTGCGGCGTCTTCACAGATTGAAAAGTGGTAAACCACTCCTCCACGACGCCTTCAGCACTTTGACGTTCGCCGCCCTCTCTTCATCAATAGACAAAAAAGACTTCTCGAATAGAGGAGATTCATCCTGACCCTTCTCAGCGGCTTTGCGATCGGAATCATGCTGTTTCTTTGATCTCTTCTCCACTCCGGAAGAAGCGCCAACATCGGCCATCCTAATCAACTTTCTTTTCTTCTTCTTCTCCGGTTGTTCCACTAACTCCAGGGACTTCGGAGAAGAGGGTGGCACATCGGTGTGAACAACCTCGGTCGTAACTATCTCTGTTGCCACTGCAACGGGTTCAGGATCTGCTTGGTTAATCGCAGTAGCATTCACGACCGACGGCACCTCAGTAGATGTCACCTCTGGCACAGACTTTGGGTTTTCAGGAATGGCGGCCGAAGTCGCGCTTGACCCCACCTCGGTCGATTTTTTACTGGTGTTTTTCTGGCCGGCAGTCTTCTTCACCAACGCACAAACAATATCTCTCCTCATGGCGTCGTTCAATCTTAAGTATCGACTCTTACCAACTTTAGATTGAAGATCTCTATTCGGAAACTTGCGCCTGAATTCCTTAGCCTCTTTAACCGAGCTATAGCCCAAGAAACCGAGGAGCGGATAGTATACTGCATTCCGGCAAAATAAACAGGGTTACACATCGCTGTTCTACATGAATAGAAAAATCTGACACAATCACCATAAACTTAAATTCTCTTACCGGGATCAAATGTGGAAGTGCTAACTCCTAGAGACAAACCAGCAGCTTCGAGTTTCAAATCCACTAAAAGCGTGCGATAATCTCGGACTTCTTTATCCAAACTGGCCAACGTGATCAGCTTCCCACCGAACTCCGGACTCAACTTCGGTTCTTTCTGCTTGGTCTCTTTTTCTACAAAGGGCAAAAGTTCCGACCTGTTAGTACACAGAACAACACCGAAATCAGGAAAATATATCCGAATTGAAAAACCAAAACAGACTCACTTGCTCCGGAGTGAATAAACATAGGGATTGTCATCCCATCAATTCGGGGTTCATGAAAGAAGCCCTCGGACTGCCACTCTCCACCAACCCATAGCCACTCCTCCTGGAAACCGTGAAGACTCTCCGGGATCTCAGTGATTATTTCCCCGACTTTAACGCCGTGTTGCGGTTTCGCTCCGGCAAAGAAACAACACGACGACTCAGCAACCCTCCTCTTCGGACTTTGTTTAAAAAGGAAGATGCTTCTCATTTCCTCACATGACGGCAACCCTTCACCTTGCTCGTGCAGCAATACCATCAAATCGATTATCTTTTTCCAACTATTCGGGGTAATCTGGCACAACGGTAACCCCCAACTTCGGAGGTATTCCGTGATCAAGTTCGGCAACGAGAATCTCAACCCCGACCTCAAACTCTCCGCAAATATGCCCACACAACCCGGAGGTGGGCTTGTTATTCTCTCCCCGGGATAAGGAGCGAAAATCTTCACCGAGGGAGGGATCCGCACCTGCTCTCTCAACAACACGACATCGGCATCGGTCAAGATGCTCGGCTCTCCTTCAAAATCGACTGCAGGATCAGGCCACTTCCTCACCGGTCTTCTCCAGTGAGGCGTCACAAGGTCGGCCGCATTATGTTCTACGACCAGGTCACCGTCCTCATCGTTCAACTTAATATCTAGATGCCTCACCAACGACGGGTCCCACCGGTGATACTCAAAGGCCAATTCAACCAATTCCGAGTCATGGTAAACCTCCAACGGAACCGATTCAGTGCTCGAGGAACTCGCCGCCGCCTTACCCTTTCCCTTTGACGCCATCGCACAACAAAATAAAATGCAAGAAAAATAGAGGAAGAATCAAAGAAAAAGCTTACCACAAAATCCACAAACACTCAGTGCGCAAGAAACAGCTCTCGAGCTCAAAAGAATTTCCACAACAAGATTACTGGATGCAAAAGTCTGAGAATGAAAGCGCAAGTGAAGAAAACTCGATCAAATATCGCGAAACCCTATTTATAATTTCCGATTTATGACCGTTAGGGATCTTAATTAGGGGCGCGTCCAACCGACGCGACCCCTAATTCCAATCGGTGCCATCTTTTCGTCTGACAGAAGCCTACCGTTACACGTGGCAACCTATTAAAGCCGACCGTTACCTCATTTAAGGCCATTACGGCGCGACCGTTCATTTTGACATTAAATCGTTGACCGTTGCGTCCATCCACATTCTGTCGCGACCGTTCACAAATTGCTCGAATTTTACCAAGTGTTTTCACTTCGGAATTTAAACCCGCACTTCGGTACAAGCAATCCACTTCGGTTATCTCAGTTACGTCGAAAGACCGAAGATGACAAACATCCAGTTTTTACCGATTCGGAGCCTCTAGATGTCTGGCAATATCGATGACCATCACTCCGTATGCCCACCGATATTGGGGGCATCTCTGTTATCATCCGACTCGGCAAAACACCATTAAGAGGTTTCAAGCATCCTGTTAAGAGAAATTAACAATTGACCCGATGTGATCCTCAACCACACCGGTCCAGGCAATGAACCGGTCCGAACTACCGAAGACCGAAGTGATCAATACCTACTGAGGTCTACTTAAACCGAGGTCGTCACCTCCTTAAGCAGGTGACAAGGCGCCTACACGCTCCTCTCACACTCTACGAGGTTCGTCATCATTCATGTGGGGACCACAGCTCCAAACCGCCCACCAAAAGCTACTTTATGCGAAAAGTAGTACACGAATTCCAATGTATTCATCAAAAAAGCTACTATAAATAGCTAGCCTATTACATTTGTACGGGGATCCCGAACTCATTATTATGCAACACGTAAAAGCCCATCACGGCTCTTCACCTCGGTTCACCTCGGACCGGGGCCATTGTTGAGTTATTTCTACATGCTTTACGTCCAAACCGTTCATAATTATCATAAGACATTTTTGCTTTTAACTTTCTTTTCAAAAATCGCGAGCATTTAATATCTCCGGAAAATCCTTGAGTCGTTGAGCGCCGCCACCGCCTGTAAAATTCCCTCGGATCCTCCGTGCTCCTGAACTCTGATCTGCCGCACCTCCTCACCGGGTAAACATATAACGTGACGCATCTTTTCCGGATCTTGAACCGCGCTATCTCGGAACCCGCCATCCCCCGGATCAGCCTCCAGTTCACCTCTCCTAGCGGTATCTCCGCCGGCCACAGCCGCTCCGCAGTAGCCCTCAGCCCCTCCGATTCGAACACGAAAACCACCACCTTGGACTTCCTCGTGCCCAGGCCCAGCGTGAGCGTGTGCCACGCGTGGTACGCGAGGATCGTGAAGTTCGTTGGGAGGAACGCCGCGGCGGAGGCAACGCCGTCAGAGGAGGCGATGGGATGGAGAGGAGGCGGAGGAGCTCCGCTGGTCGCACGCGCCAGATCGTGAAGGAATTGACCACGAATTGGCCGCCAAATTGGAGTCACTTGACGTCGTAGGAGGGCTTGAAGGAGATATCGACTATGGATTTTGCCTACGACGGGTCGTTTGTGTGCTGAGGTTTATCCTTTTTGCTCTTGATTGTGTGCTTGGTTGGTCTATCAGCCATTGATGGGGTTTGGTCTACGAGTGGTGGGTTAAAAAGGGATTTTTCACCATAAAAATCTCAACAATAATAATCTATTAATTCAATACAATCTCAACAAATTTTTACAAATATTTATTATTATTATTATTATTTTTTTTTGTAAAAATCAATTAGGGGGTCCAAGAGTGATTTTTGCAGGCATGTAGGTCTTTGATATGCCCTAAAAAACTGAAAAAGAAAAGATCAACAACAAAAAATAATAATTTGTTTTGACTTCATAAGCATTAAGCATAATCATGGTCTAATCAATCAAATGTTATCTAATAATCTCAAATTTTGAAAATCTAATATATGCAAGACCATTCTTCAAACATGAATTTAAAAAAACACTTTTTTTTTTTATTAATATTATTTACCATAATGTTGATGCCAAATAAAAAAAAAAAATGATCAATATTTATCTTACCAAATTTTGAAGATATATTTTAATCTAGAATACAAAATATCATAATGTCCCCAATTATTAAGTGAATTATTTAATAAATATTAACATAAAAACCAAATAATGTCATCTAAGAATCCCAACTTTCGAAATTTGGGATCTGCAAGAATCGGTCGTGTTTCAAACCAGTATTCTAGAAGTCGCTAGGCGCTCAACCAGAGCCTAACGCCTAGAATGCCTAGGCGGGGCCTAGAAATAAAAATAAAGTACCTTATTTTTTCATTTATTTTCATTGTCTACAGAATAAAACTATCTCAACTTATAATATATCAACACACCTAAGTCCAAATAATAATATTAGTATATTATAAAGAAAATATAATAACAAAATAATATAATTAGTATTTTTAAAAAAATTAAAAATAAATTGAGAATTTTCCGCGGAGTGCCTATTTATAATAAATTAACACAACTAAGTCCTAATAATAATATTATTATATTATAAAGAAAATATGATAACAAAATAATGTAATTAGTATTTAAAAAAATAAAAATAAAAATTAAAAATTTTTCGTCAAGCCCGCCTAGGCGCCGCCTAGCCGCCTGCCCGATTTTTTCAACCGATTTATGTAAATTGGAGGCGGCCAGGCACCGCTTAGCGCCTCGCCGCCGCCTAGACCGACTTTTAGAACAGAGTTTCAAACACGGAAATTTGTAACAAACATAATCATATTGAATATTTACAATAACTTTATTTCAAAAATATCTATGAATAGTTATCTCAACACTCTTTGATCGTTCTTGAAAATGTGGTATTTCAAATATCATAAGTTATTTTAAATGAATATCTATATATTGTAAAAAAGTTGTTGAATAAATTGATAAATTGTACATTTGACTTAAAAAATAAGGGTGACTTACTATTATAAGTAATATTCTTAAACGCACATGTGATAATGATTTTCAGAAAATTTGGTACCATGTTCGGATCTTTTAGCCAAAAATTTGGTAAGATGTTAGGATTTTTGAGCCTTTTTTTTTTGTAACTTTGATAATCGGATTGGATTTCAATTTATTTGTTTAAAAAGTATGTGCAAATGAGCTTTAAAAAATATGAGATATCAATGTATCTATCCCTAACTATAATCAATTTTTTCACACGGGTATGTTAAAATTTTGATTTGAGTCAATATATGCCAACTAATAAAAAATCGGCAAATAAAAAAATCAGTGAATATATATATTGCAAAACAAACGTTTGTCCTTATATATAGGTAACAAATTCGTAATATTTTAAAGAATTTTTTTTTTTAATATATAAAAGATTCGGCTAACTACACATTTACATATGTGGATTTGAACTAATCTACACAATCCTATACTATGATTTGAAATAACTATGTGCCCATAAAATTGACTAACTAAAATCCGTTACCATATTTTCTATATATTAAACTGTAGATATTGTTTAAACTACTTCTCATATATTTTCTGATACTGTGAAATATATGAACTCATATAAAATATCTCACACTTAACAACCACACATTTAATTAGGTAAGTATATTATACAGTCCATGTACAATAGATAATTCCTTATAACCTTTTTGATATATTCTAAAAAATCCTTCAACCTTCAAACTATTGATATCAAACTTAAAAAACTTATTCACAAGTATCTAGATAAATATGGTTATTAGTCTATATAAGATTGTTTTGCATAAAACTTTAATTTATATAACCCCATGTGACATTAGTCGAATATATGCAATCATAATTTCACTCGATCTTACAAAAGTGCGTTAATATTTAGTTGACAAAAAGAAAGATATGTTTTAACACAGTTCGACAATATATCATTTAAAATCACAAATAGAAGTCCATATTTTTTATTCACACTTTGCATGAGGTATTCGAGTTCTTTCCCTAAGCCATTTAGAAACCTATCAAGTAAATTTTTATTGAACTAATATGATTTCATTGTTTTGTCATTTGTTTTTTCCCTAAGCCATTTGGACTAATATGTATTCGAGTTCGCAAAGCCACTTGCAAACTAAAATTTCAATTTTTGCAACAAATATCTTATTTTCAGTGTAAAAAATTCAAATAGAAAACAAAATGTTGAATCATTGTATAAAATACGAGATAAAACGTGATTTTTTTTTTTACAAAAATCATCTCTGTGGGTATAAAAGTCAGATTAAAATGAGTAATTTTTAACATAAAAAGCATTTTTTGTCTGAAGAAACCAGTGCTTAGTCATGCCCAGTTGTATGTTGCTATCTCCCGCGTCACTAAGCCAAATGGTTTGAAAATCATAATTTGTGGTGACGAACGTGAAAAAAAAAAAAAAACCATAAACGTTATATATAAGGAAGTGTTCAATAATATATATGTTTCATTTTCTTTATATTCAATAATATCTCAATTGTTCCATTACTATACAATTTGAATCCGAATACAAACTTGCATTTTAGAAATAAAGAAAATTATAAAATCCCGTGCATCGCACGAGCACTGTACTAGTATCTTTGAAAATGAATACATTCTAATCCCATTATTGTAGTATAAAAATAGAAAAAAATGTTCTATTGTATTACGTATAGCATGTTGGTTGTAACCTCACACCCTATGGCAGATTTTGGTTCATGAATGCACATATCCTCCAGAGGACATCGTCGCACCGTAATTAATATTCTAACAATGACAGTTGGTAGCTGTGATTAAACGAGTGCAAGTCACCAAATCAATCACCTATTTCCTTCTCAAACAAGTTCCCAGGTGATTCCTACTCCAAACAAATATAATAAAAACCAAATACAAATGAATCAATGGATTTTCAAATTTCATAAATCAATTATTACGAATGCTTTCATAGATCTCTTATGTCGCATTTATAAATCTAAGGCTTCATCCATTCAAAATTTAGACAGGTAATATCTTTGAAACTCTTAATTTTCTTGAAATTATATGAGCTTTACATTAAATGCACCTGTAAGAATGATAACTTGCACATATAAACAAAAATAAAATTATTAACCAAACAACATATAGAGAAGCTAGATAAATTGAATGTGAAAACAAAAAATATTCATCTTACGATAAAATAATTTCAAAAATAAGCTTAAAAGAGCTCATCTAAATTCATCTCAAGACATTTAGCTTATTATGCTCTCATTTATGTTTAGAAATAGTTTAGCACCAGATAATTTGAAAATTGTTCAAGTTATATGTTATATGTGTAACGTATGATTTTATCGCGAGTGCGCTCAATTATGTACGAACGTAGATAAACAAAAACAAATAGCTATAGCAAGAACCCGAAGATGTAAAAAAACTCTTAAGGGAAGCGTCTCACTTCCCCTCAGAGCTCTTTCATTGATAAACCGTAGAATACAGTATAGTTTGGACTTACACGACTCGAACTCTCTTCTAGTCTAGCCACAACTGCACACGATCCTATCAATTACTTCTCCGGCCACGTCCCGTGGACTTTCTTACAAACACTTAATCTCTAAGTGTAAAACTCGAATATGTTTGAATAAGACAAAGAAAAACAAAACAAAACAGTTTCAGTTCTCAGACACGTAAGAACCCTTGAACTAAAGTGTGAACTAAAAGCAAAACAAAAATCTTGAAGCTCGAATATTGCTTTCGTGAATGAGAGTGTCAGCAGCCAGCATTTGATCTTCAAATAGGGTATTTATACAACTCCTTAGGCATGAAGTCTTCTCTAAATTGTTTTCTTCCTTCTTGATCTCCTTTGATTCTTTTTCCCATTAATAATGAGGAAACAAGGAAAGTGAATCTTCCTTGATCTCTCTTTCATGCACCATGCGATTTCCTCCTTATCTCCCATGCAATTCGACTTCCTACAAGTAAATACCATAATAAGATCTATGCAATCTTATATATGCGAATATAAACAAATCTAAGTAAGGAAACAAATATAATACAAAGATCTTCCCTTTTTCTGCGGTTCCTAGTGCTTGTTCGAACATGTCTTCAACTATGCTTATTTTGAACTTATGCCAAACAATATATCTTTCAATATGAGTTAATAATGTTGGTTCTTCCTATATTCTTTATCTCCGAAATTTGTTGCCTCTCATAACCGAGAAACAATAGATACATGATTGGATGCATGCATTTTATCCTATGAAAAAGTGTTTTAGTTTTCTTTTAAGGATGTTTTATAAACGCAGCTTGTTGATACATGACGATAATGAGAATTTTAAATTTTAATCATTTGAAAAGGAGCTGAAGATAAATTATTTCTACATTTTAAAATTCTGTTAGTTTTGAAAATATGGGTAACCTTAACGTTATAAAGTATGTGTTCCAAATTGATGTACACACTGGAGAATATAATCTAAAGCTTACAAACCACGTGCATATGCCATAAAGGAATTAAATATTAAGCACATAAATGAAATGTCGTACACCATGATGAAAAACACACGGAGAAAACACCAGTCGGTTGAATTGATAGGATCGATAGCGATTTTCTAAATAAATTTTGCTACATTTAAAATCATTTTAAATAAAATTACATATTTAAATAAAATAGAGATTTATA